CCACCTCTACTTCGCCTTTGTCATTCCAAAAGATCAGGCATTGATGGAGCGACGAGGGTATACAGCGACTTCCATGTATCCAATCTCTTCCTAGGAGCACGTTGTAACTAGTAGGACCATCTATTACAAAGAAGACAGTGGTCCTAGTAGTCGTCCCTATAGTTATGTCCAATGGCATAACTCCCTTAGCTGAAGTTGCTCCTCCATTGAAGCTAGTGATGATGACTTCTGTAGGAATCATGTCACCCTCTGTCTTTGCGAACTTCCTCATCATCCTAGATGGAATGGTGTTTATAGCTGCTCCATTGTCGACAAGCACTTTTGCCACTGGGACGCCGTTACTAAAGTTTTAACGTATAATGGCCTCAAGTGTTTTGTCAATTTCATGGCTGGCCGTTTAAAAATAACCTTTTCGACAGCCTCTATTTCTACTTCCTGCTTGTTTTCTGTTGAATTATCCCCCTTTGACAAATAGACGTGCAGAATATCACGCTGATCCTCTATCTCCTGAACTTCCTTCCTACTTCTTTCTAATGCTTCCTCATCAGTTACCCAACCTGTTGGAGGGGGCATTATTCTTGGAGGTGACCCATACTTTTCAGAGCGAGGCACTCTCTTCTTCCTTTTGGGTGTCCCGTACAGTACGTAGAAATCGAAAGGATGCCCAGATGGTTCTCCCAACAAGTCTACTTCGCGAGCTCCCTCTTGATGTAGTTGCTTAAATAGAGTATTGCGCGATACTCCTCTCTTTTTTCTTTCTGCTTCTAAGTCAATTTCTTCTTCAATGTCTGTCATCCCATCGTTCTCCTCGTCGTTGTAGGCCTCTCTAGAAGTCTGGCCTTCTTCACATATCAACACGCAAGCTTCTCCTTCGTTGTCCTCCCTCTCTTCTTCTTTTTCCTTATTCTTGAATTCATTGGCCAGTAGGTAATTATTGACCACTACAGGAGGCAACGTACCGAATTGGATAGCAAGGGGCTGATCTGGATCTTCTTCATCCCTTCTGTCTCGCTCAAACCTTGATCTCTCAGAAGAAGTTTCTGACAGTTCCTTCATCGATTCATCTGTGCCCGTCTCTTCACTATTTTTGAGGACATTTTGATTTGCTACCTTGAGTAGTTTAGGCGCTTTAGGATGTGACATTCCCTGTTGCTGCCTCATCATCCGTCTGTAGTTTCGTTGGAAACGCCTTTGTTGGGTCCTAGTCATCTCATCGAAGGGTATTGCCCTTCTCGCATCGTACTGGAATGAATGCCATACATTTGGCCGGCGAGGTTGCGGCCTGAATGTTCTTCCAGTATCTGCTGGCCTGAACTGCCTTTCAAAAGGCGGTCCTCTATAGAATGATGTACCTCGCCCTCTACCAGGCTGAATGTTTGGGAAGAAGGTAGGGCGATGAGGATGCTGCCATGTCCCTGGTTTCTCCATGTTTCCATTCACTTCTCTTTTACACCTTGCACACAGGATGTCTTCGTCCTTTTTTGGTTCTTTCCCCTTGATTCGTTCAAAGACGCTGGGATGTGGTCTAGGATCTTCTTTTCCATCATCTACGACCAGTTTGAATCTTGGTCTTGTTCTTGAATCCAGATGTTACCATGTTTACTCCAAGTGGCTGTGGGAAAGGATTCTCATCCACTGCCATCTTTTTCTTATCATCGAACGTAATTCGTCCTGATTCAATGGCATCCTGCAATACATGACGGAAAACCAAGCAATTGTTAGTCAAATGTGACCATGCATTATGCCACTTGCAATATTTTTTACCCTTAATTTGTTCAGGGTTTGGCAATTTGTGCTTATCGCTCAACTTTATCTGCATATCCCTATATAATTTATCGAATATAAGGTCAGCTTTGATCACGTCGAACGAGAACGTTCTAGCCTTTATGTTTCCATCTTTTATGGGCTCATCTTTACCCGATGGTCTAGGCTTGGCCATTATGGGACAAGTATATGTATCCCCTTTGACCAATTCGGCCAAACACATTTCGGCCTGATCGTATGACTCGTCGTTGATGGTATGAACGTTAAAATTTGGGTCTTTGTAATAAGTCCCTTTACTAGAATTTTTCATTTGTTCTTCCTCTCTTATCAGTCGCTCATACCTAATCACATTCGCGCTCAACTGGAAAAGGTCAGGAAATTCCTTGTCCTGGAACTTTTTTTTAAAATCAAAGCTCAAGCAGCCCTGAGCGATCTTGACAAATTCTTTTTCGGGCAGAGGTACAAAACACTTGCTTCTTGCTGTCTTGAACCTTTGGAGAAAACTTTCTGCCCATTCATTTGGCATTTGACGTAGATTCGCCAAATCAGCCAAAGTGACTTCAGACTCAGTTTTATAAAACTGAGCGTGAAACAACTGTTCCAATTGTTGCCATGTTTAAACAGAGTTCGCTGGCAAGTTGACGAACCAAAAGAAAGCTACTCCTGTTAACGAACTAGGGAAAAGCCTCATTTTATGGTAATTGATTACATCACCACTTTGCAATGTGAATCGCCCTATATGTTCTAGAGTAGACACCTCTCCTAAACCGGTAAATAGTGAGAATTCTGGCACTTTGTACCCTATAGGCCATGGATATGCTTGCTCTACCCAATCAGGATATAGCTTTGTGTACGTCGGCCTAATGACGGGACGTACTCCAAAAGCCATCTGATCCTGTACGATTTCCATAATCTGGTTCCTCAACATGACGTTGGGGTCATATGGAATTCCTACAGGTTGGTTAACTGGTTGATTTGCATGAGGCCTGATGTTTGGTCCTTGATTGGCAACAAAATCACCATGATTAGGGCCATTATCATTAGCCTGAACATCTATTCTCTTATTACCACGTGGAATATTCTGTCCATTGTTTAGGACATTATCTCTCAGGTTTGGATTACCCCAAGTTAGGCATGCCACTACCATTGTTTTGATTTGGCACTGTAGTACCCCCTTGGTTTGAAGTAGAGGGACCAGAAAGCGGTTCTACCCCTTGATTCGGATTTAGGACCGAGGGATTATGTCTCACAATTGTCCTAGTTTGAAAGTGGTTTGTAAGAGGTATAGTCGGTTGACATATTTGGCCTACTAACCTATTCATTGTTTCGTTCAATGTCTTTAGTTGTTTGGCCATGTTATCATAGTGTACATTCCCATTTTGTGTAAATCTTTCCATATTATGAATACTTCGAAGATTTACCTGTTCAACGACATCTTGCGTGAGTTCTCCAAGTAATGCACGCATGGTTCGAGGACTCAACTCCGTCATTGGTTCGTAACGACTGTTACTGCTCTGATTCTGTCCATCTGTTCGTGGAGAGGCATGCTACTCCTCATATCGCTCGATCACAGACTGAATTCCTCCCTGACTTGCTGCTTCCTTATCGGATCTCTGAGGCATATTGTATCCCCTTTTGTACTTTCAATACCTAACACCACTGTCCCACTGAGCGTGCCAAATTATTTTGCGCGGGTTAGTCGCTAACAATTAAAAAGGATCGGACGATTGTGTAAGGGATAAACCTCTTGAGACAAAGTCCCAAAAAGGGGTGTTCTTTTATTGGCGATGACTTTACAATTGGAAACTAAAAACAACGTGCCTCCAAGGGGCGCAAGCACACGAGTTACTGAAAGAAAAGTGTTTAAGTCTAAAAACTAAGGAAATGAAAATTACATGTTCTCTGTTGGAGAGTTTTGGATTCGGTCTTTTGCTTCTATGTCCTTTCTTCCTTTTATACTTCATGGACGATCTCTTTGTGATCAACTGCCCTAAAAACTGCTTGATCGTCCTATAACTGCCCACTTTTTCGTAATGGCCAGCTTACGAAAACTGCCTCCTTTAACTGCTACCATTACTCTAAATCGTTCAACCGCTTTCGATTGAATTTCTTGAATCGTGAAACGTGATAGGGTTGCTCTAATAACTACTTTGATAACTGCACTTCTTGATAAGAGCGACGCTTTATGTTTGTTAAGACCTTAGGCGACTTGAAGGTTTGGGCGAGAATGAAGTAACAGCTCTGGACGACTGTATGACACTCCATTCGCTCAGATTATGGGCGACTTGCAAACTTGGGCGATGGCGTCACCGCGTTCTTGGGCCTCCTCATTTGGGCCTTCATCTTGATTTGTTCGATTGAGCTTCGTTTTTTGGGTTATCTGATTTGGGGATCCTCCAATTGGGCTTCACTCCTTGGGCTGTTCGATTTGGGCTGAATTTTTATGTGTCAACACGTACATAATTATAATTACAATAAAGTTTATATTTAGTTGTAATATGGAAGTTATAATCTTAATTATAATTGTAATTGAAGTTCTAGGACTACATATGTAATTAAATGTAAACTAATTTGATTTGGACTTTAATTAAAACTCCTACTTGAATTTTAAAAACTCTTACTTGAATTTGGAATTATTATTGTACAATTATCATAACTAATAAATAGAGATTACATGAAAACTAAACATTATATGAAATTGTACAATAATCATAATACATAATTTCGTAGCGTTCAAATTTAGAAAGAGCAAAAAATTATTTTTCTTCTTGTTTTTCAGTTGTCCCGATCAAGAATTAGTTTCTTAATTTAATCAAAAAAGGTGTTCACCTACCGGTGTTGTATTGATTTTGAAGAATACAATAGAAAACTTGAAGGTTTGAAGTATCAAAATTTTTAAGTTAAAAAAATGAAAGTTCATGATTTAAAATTAATTCAAAAATTGATCATTGAATTTAGATAAAAATTTCAATCATTTATTTTTGATATAACATATACATGAACATTTAAACGGTCTTGTTTATAGAATTAAAGAAATTTTTAATTTCTGAATAATTCCTCTTTCGTATTTCAACGACTCCTCAATAAACGATTATACCACTGGGATGATATCCAAGTGTTTCTCGGGAGGGAGATGGGGGGTAAGTACTGTAGAGAGAGAAACATTAAAATTCTATTAAATAGAGAGAGAAAGGTAAATAGGCTAGAGATAGAAAAGCATTAAAATTTTGTTATAATAATATCTATATTCCTATTGTCACGCGTTACACATACATATTACATTTGGGAAAGGAATCGCAAGAAATCGGCAAAGGAACGGTCCAAAATTAAGACCCAAACAGCACCTTACGCGTCAAAGCCAAACACTCCCAAAAGTGCATCTGGTAAGTTTACAAGAAAATTGTTACCTATTGAAACCTGGATACCTTTCTCATCCCGACAATTATCACACAAAATTGTTTTAATAAATATACAATTAAAAGGTCAAATTTTTAATTACAATTTGGCACTTGGACATGGTAGGTTGCACAGATTTCTGCAGAGAATTCATGGTTGCCCATAGTTTTAAATTTTTTAACAGTATGTAGCTTGGTTTTCAGGCTAGGGTTTTCATACTATAATTAAATATAGTAAATGATTATTTTGAAATCTTATTATTATTATTTTTTAAATTATAATTTCTAATAATTATGAATACTTATCTGAAATCTGAATGTTTATGAATATAAGGTTTATCACAGAATTGGAATTTTGGGTTTTGATCCTGGACCAACTTTTTAGTTCCCAATTTTAGGATTTTGTTTCTAATTCTGTCTGGAGATAATTTCCAATTAGATCATGTTGTTTGGCCGTTTGTCAGTTTTCCTGTAAACAAAAAGTGAATTGGTGGGTGCCATCTCACACATCTAGGTTTGAATTAGGGTTAGATCTGATAAATTTGATTATGCTTGCTTTTTAGCTTTTACTTTTAGGTGATATACATGTTTATGCCAACAATTTTACTGTTTATCAATGATTATTTTGAAATCTTATTATTATTATTTTTTAAATTATAATTTCTAATAATTATGAATACTTATCTGAAATCTGAATGTTTATGAATATAAGGTTTATCACAGAATTGGAATTTTGGGTTTTGATCCTGGACCAAATTTTTAGTTCCCAATTTTAGGATTTTGTTTCTAATTCTGTCTGGAGATAATTTCCAAGTAGATCATGTTGTTTGGCCATTTGTCAGTTTTCCTGTAAACAAAAAGTGAATTGGTGGGTACCATCTCACACATCTAGGTTTGAATTAGGGTTAGATCTGATAAATTTGATTATGCTTGCTTTTTAGCTTTTACTTTTAGGTGATATACATGTTTATGCCAACAATTTTACTGTTTATCTTATTTGATTTTATTTTCTGGAAAATCTGGGTGTAGGGATTGGAATCTGAGCAAATGTAAGTCAGAGGATCTTTTGGATCAGAATATGTAAGTTTCATGATTTCTACGTTTATTTGCTTCTAAATATTTATCATCTACCTGAGTTCGTAGCATTTGTTCTTGGTTTTCGCGATCAGGTGTACTGCCTCTTTCGCCTCCGCCCTATGGAACTCTTGTATATTGTTTTTTCATCATCAGTGAAAGGCCACCCTACATCTTGCCATATTGGGGAAATGTACCTTTTGCAGTTGAATTAATATATTCGTGTTCAACAATTTGTGAATTTTTTGAGGAACTTGGACAGAGAACTTGTGTATTGTTTGTGTTTGCATGTATGTGAGAAATATTTGATTTTTGTCTAATCAAGTTATTGACCGAAGAAATAAAATAAATAAAACTAGTTTTTTTATCTGTTTCTTCATGCATTTATGATGTAATTCATCCCCCCCCCCCCCCCCAAAACCCCCCCTTCCTTTTTTTTTCTTAAAAAAAAAACAAAAAAAGCCACCTTTCCTTGTTTCTTCCTTTATTTCCGCCTATATCAAATCGCCCGAGGGGGAGGGGGTGGAACCAAGGAAAACATTTATGGCAATATCATTATGAAAAGGTCAAATTATATTTTCATAGTTGTCTTAAATATGGAAATCCTTTCCATCTTATCCGGATATGTGACAAAACAAGTATAAAATTAACGTTGTGCTTATTGCTTCTGCTGATGTTATGGGTGGGGTGGGCGGAGCTAGTGCGGTAGTTTAGGGAGAAACAACATTATTTGTATATGTTGTTAAATTGGAGCATTTGGCACAAAAAAAAAATCTTAACATACCTACTGTTTTCACGTGTATGTAGCTTGCAAATACTTCTTTTTATTGTGTGAGCTCAGATTTGTCATGTATAAATTTCTTCCTTTACAAGCAGATCTATTTCAAAGCACTCACAGTGAAATTTATATTCATTAATTAGTAAGAAAAGAGCATAGGGCCTCGAACCCATTGAATGATATTGCACTCTCCAGTTTAAGGTATCTTTGCCTTACTTTTGTTTCTTTTGCTTACTATGCAAATATAGTTTCTTTTGGACATCGAAGAAGCATCTGGGATTGAATAAATATTCTGGGAGACTTTTCTAGTTCAAGTGTTTTTTGCACTTGGATGTCATATTCCAGCGGCTCATACTTAATGCTTCTGTAATTCCCAATTGTTATCAATAGAGGAAACATTTCTAGGTAATAATTTTTCTCCTTGTTTTTCATTAATAACAAAAGAAAGAATGTCATCTATTTTGCCCCTGCCCTCCAAGCAGTATGGAGAACAGTTTATTTCTTTAATCAGTTCACCGTGTGACTACTTCAATTTCTCAGCAGTGATGGGGACAGAACTTGCTGGACCTCGAGTCAAAGAAGAGAAAATGGAAATTCCATCAATTCCACCTGGTTTTGAGTCACTTGTTCCCTTCACTTTGAAAAGGGTGGACGATCATAAAGGTTTTTCCTCAGCATCAGTTAGTGTATCGGAGCCGCAAGCAAGCCAGTTAAAAACAGAGTTTGCATGTAAAAATGACTCTAGTATTATGAAGACCCTCAGGCGTAGATCTTCCATAAACTACAGCCAGTTCAGTAACAGCTCGAGTGATGATTCTGATTCTGAGCAGGTTAATCGAGTTTTAGCGTTATAATATATGTCAAAGTTTCATTTTCTGATACGTGTAATCTGAATTAATAGATTCTTATATATGTCCACATGTGCAGAAAATGGCTTCAAGGCTCCAGCTTCCTAGAGGGGTTATTCGTGGATGTGAAGACTGTAACAACTGCCAAAAGGTCAATCTTCGAAACTAATCTTATTTTGTTTTAATTCATGGGTCTGCGTTCAACAGAAAATATTTTGATCTACATGTTTGGCAAAGCTTAAAATGGAATTTAAGCTGATTAAACATACTTTTTATTCACACATTTCAAAGAGCACAACTTACTACCTATTTATTATTAACTTATTCTGTAGGTATCACAATTGACAAGTACTCTCAAAAGCACTTCCAAACAAGGATGATGTTGTAATCTGGCTCAAAAATATAAATGTATACATGTTATAGATGCATGTATAACTATGGGAACTTATATATGACCAAATATACCCCTCTGACAGCGTCTTACAATCACCAAGTTCGTGTGTAATCAAGTTTACAACATAGCTTAGACTGTGAATGACTAAACCCAAGTTTTGCAAACAACAGTGCTTTCCTTATGTTCATTAGTTTATCACATCTAATTGTAAAGCATCTGAAATAAATGGAACAGATACAGTATTTGATACATTCATGAATTTTGGAGCAGGTAACTGCAAAATGGCGTCCAGAAGAAGCTCGCAGGGCTGATCTTGTGGAGGCTCCTGTGTTTTATCCAACAGAAGAGGTTCTTATTGATCCTACCATGCATTTTCATCTACTTCACTGTGATTGTACATTAAATTCTTTTCTTTTTCACTCTAATATCTGACTTGAAGCTTGGATGAATTTTTAGATCTGAAATGATCATAATGATGAATTATCTTAATTAATGCTTTTCTACCAGGAGTTTGAAGATACATTAAAATATATCTCAAGTATACGCTCTAAAGCAGAAATTTATGGGATCTGCCGCATAGTACCTCCTCCTTCATGGAAACCTCCTTGTCCTCTGAAGGAGAAAAAAATTTGGGAGAGGTCTAAGTTTACCACTCGTATCCAGCGAATTGACAAACTTCAAAATCGGGATATAGTGAGAAAGGCATTGCAACTCAATCGACATAAGAGGAGGAAAAGGAGAAGATGCATGAAAAATGAAGTTGATCATGGAATTGCTAACTATTATATCAAGATTCCTGTTGATGTTGGACTACATGAGTCCGAGAGGTTTGGCTTTGACCCTGGTCCCGATTTTACACTGGATACATTTCAAAAGTATGCTGATGATTTCAAGGCCCAGTACTTCAGGAAAAACAATATTAGTTCAAATTCGGAAGGTAACAAAACTATGCTTGAGGAGCAGTTGCATCCCTCAATAGAGAATATTGAGGGTGAATACTGGCGGATGGTAGAGAAACCAACGGAAGAAATTGAGGTAATTTTGGAATGTCCATCTTGAAAGATTTTACGAATTAGACTATTATGTCATTTAACATTTTTCCTTGCTACATGATTTAATATAATTATTAATTTAATTATTCATATTGTGCTCCTTTTTTAGGTGCTTTATGGGGCTGACTTGGAAACAGGAGTATTTGGAAGTGGGTTTCCTAAAAATTCTCATCAAGCTGGTTCTGCTTCTAACATAAAGTATATCAACTCGGGATGGAACTTGAATAACTTCCCTAGGCTTCCCGGTTCTGTTCTTTCATTTGAAAGCAGCGATATATCCGGTGTTCTGGTCCCTTGGCTGTATATAGGAATGTGTTTTTCTTCATTTTGTTGGGTAAGGAAAAAGAGTTACTTCTGTATTAGTTAAATGATGTTATGGCTTTTCCAATACATCTGTACTTATAATGCTCCTTAATCTTTTCCTGTTTTGTCATTGCATAATTGATTCATGATGAATTGATGATGATTCAAGTGTCTTCATATGATCATGTAATCATGACCTAGTGGCATGATCAAATAACTGTTTTTGGTTGAAAATATTTGTGCAAATTAGGGATGAAGTTATTTCATGTTCAGATAGATAATTATTCTCGATGTCTTTAATACTAATTTTGTCTGCCTTTTAAGATGAAAAATTGTGACAAAAGATTTATGTCTAAAAAAGATGAGCATTTTGAAAAAAATCGAACTTAAGAGCATATGGCCTGTTTTCGTTACAAGAAAGGAAGCGTTCAACATAGTAATTATTTTCTTTATAATTAGTAAAATAATGGTTAGTACTGGATCAATTCAAGTGCTTTTATTTTTTGTCCATGTCAGTTAATTATATTTCTAATTGCTAACAGCACGTTGAGGATCACCACTTATACTCATTAAATTACATGCATTGGGGAGCTCCAAAAATGTGGTATGGTGTTCCTGGATCAGATGCTTTGAAACTGGAGGCGGCTATGAGGAAACATTTGCCTGAACTCTTTGAAGAACAGCCAGACTTGCTTCATAAGCTGGTAATCATTTTTCTTTTATATAGAGATGCTTTTTGAGAAAATAGCAATATAAAAATCTTAACTTCATTTAGGAGCTTTATAGGGGGCTAATATGGATACGGATTTTTTTTTTTTTTTTTTTTTTTTTTTCTATTACCGACTTTCCAGCCCTCCGAACTTGTAAAGATTCTTTTGGCTGTTGTGATAATTTAAAATTTGGGTGACACGAAAAGCAAGTTGGAGAAGGAAAATAGTGTTTACAAGAGAAGGAAATGAGTTAAAATAATAGAGATTCTGTATATTATAGGTCTCTAACTCACAAAATACACAGGCATGCACGCTTTAGCTACTATAGATTTCTCAATTACCATTGTTAAATATTCTATAAGCTATAAGCTTGAGGATTGTTCATGCTAATTTACATAAATTAGAGCGTGGATAGACTAGAAGTATTCCCAGTAGCCTTCCAAAGCTATCATTTTTTGACTTTATTTCAATGAAGCACTTCTTTATTTCTGATCAATTTCAGTTTGGCGAGCACGAGTCTTGAAATAATATTACTGGCTTTGACGAACATTTGTTCTGCTAATAGTTTTGAGACCGTCTTGAGAATTCTGATACATTTCATGTTTTTCCATTGGTTTTGTTTTTAACGTATTGTGTTGCCTGTTCCTGATGCTTGTTGAGCAATGTCCTATTAAAAAAGTCAGGTGCAAGTTACATTTCTTGTAGCAGAATATGTAACTTTTATGTGTTAAACATAAGAAAAGATTGTATCTATGTTTGGCCTCTATTTTTTCAAAAACTCATTTTCAACAACACATTCTTCCATAAAATAATTTTACACGTAAATCCGAAACTTTTCCTTATTTTTTAACAACGCATTATCAAAAAAATCACTATCCCAAAACACATTATCCCCCCTAAGAATTTTTTTTTGGTGGGGGGGGGGGG